ACTTGGACCCGTCTGTGATACCCCGCTGGTTATTGGTGACGAGTCCTGTTTCCCCACATGTTGAAGTTTGAACATTAGAGAAGCATGCCGAGGCAAGCATATAAAGCAAGGTTTGTTTAAAAAGGGGTAACATAGACTTCTCCTTTCCCGGGAAGGAGAAGGGGGCCATAGCTGGTATCCTGGTATCCCAAGAAGTGAGGTGTTCTGCCCTTTTTATAGGTCTTAGGCTTCCTTTGTTCTCCTGCCTTTTCCCTCTGATCTTTCTTCTTCCTGCATACGTGACTAGGCCCAGGAATGCTTGGTGAGATGGCCCAAAGGTGGGAAATGGGTGGGCTGAAGGTGGAAGGGCAGGATGGGGTAGCCAAGGACACATTAACAACCTTCTACCTCACTGTAGGGAGGGACAATCCCTGGGACAGGTTACCTTGGCAACAGGTTGGAGCAGGGGCAAGTTATCTTGATAAGGGTGGAGGAAGGGCTCTGAAGGAATGAACATTTCAATCCCTCAGAGTACAGTCTCCAACTTGTTGGACTCACTCAAAATTGGCCTTCTTGATCCGACCTAACTCAATTTACCTATCCACACTGACTGCCTGTCTAATTCTGGTTTCATAATCCTGAGTGGTTGCTTTACCTAACAAATTATTTTCCTCTTAATACTAAAATGACACATCTTTATAAAAGGTTTGAATACTATCTTTTGACCCAGGTAAGATGAGCCTTTGCTTTTGGCCTGTGTTTTAGAAGACTTCATTTATCATATACACAATAAATATATGTCTTTAAAAGGACTTGGATCTATGATACTCCAAACTCAGTGCTTAATCCTGCAACAGTGGGATTGGCAATCCTAAACATCCAGTCCAAGAGGAACTTGTCTCTCTTTTGACTTCTTCCCTCAAATCAAAAGGAAATTGTATTTTGAACCCTTGTGCATTGTGAGAGTGCTGATTTTAGAGACAGATTCTACTTTGTTGTGCAAAAAGGATCTAAGCAACAGAAGTGATTAGATCAGAGAAAAAAAGCAAATTAACTAACCTTATCAAAGTCTTCCTTTTACCAGAGTACAGTAGATTTTTAACATAATGAAAAGTTACCATCTGGTACAGTAACACCAACCGTTCATTTTCTCACTTCTCTTTTTGTTACTGAAAACTTGGTCTTTGTCCCTGATGCCAATCCAATAATGAGGAGGCAGTTCTGAAAAAAAGAAAAAAGAAGTTTTATTACTTTGCTAGCAAAAGAGAAACACAGGGAACTCCTGTTCTAGAGGCTGTGAGTCTCATTGTCAGGGGAAATAGAGGGCTTTTGAAAAGGTGATTCCAAAGCTATATTCCATCTGTGCCCTGACATGGATCATAATTCACTTGTAGCCTTGAGAGACAGCCATTTCTTAGAACTTCTGGGGCCAGTCCTGAAGCCTGGATTCCTTCACTCCTTGTAGTGTGTGACCTCATGTACAGGTTCAGTGGCCCAGGATGGGAAGGTTAATCCTGTTTCCTAACCATAGTTAGCTAGGGGGAGAGGAAGAAGAGAAAGGAAAAAACAAAGTGAAACAAACCAACAAATAAACATGTCAATTTTAAAATAAGCCACAGAGCAGTAAGGGTTATGCTCAAAGCATGAAGTAAGCCCTTCTTACACATTTACTCTATTATCCTGGAATAATATCCAGGAATTGAAGCCAGATTTAAAATTAGGTAGTCAGTGTAGTTAGGTAAATCGGGTCTAATATCATATCGAGTGAAATTTAAAATGGAGGCCATGCTGATAATGATTCCGGGCAGCGCAGGACAACTCATGGAATGTTAACGAAGTCCCAGAAAGGCTCTAGGCCAAAGTCCACCCCAAAGAAATGTTAATGGAACCCAGGAAACAGCCCCCAACAGATTTGGAGATAGCCCATCCCAAAGAAGTGATAATGAAGTCCTTCGTGCCCAGATTACTTGTTTGGCCCACCCGTGTCCCAACCCTTCCCCCTTACATTCCATCACCAAAACTATAAAAAGGGGAGACAACCGCACTTCAACGGATTCCACCTCTTGGGTCCCCTTCTTCCTCCTCTGCTGTCCTTTAATAAACTTCTAATTTCTACTCTGACCTTGCCTCGGCGTGCTCTCTGGTGTTATTCTTCAACATTGGGGAAGCAAGGACTCGTCACTGGTCAACAGTGGTAACAGAATTATCCTGACTGAAGAAATGTTCATGAGTTAACACTGTATTTATGACAGTGCATATGACTAAATAATATTCTTTGGAGTTAAGAAATTCCATATTATTTTTTTCTCTATTAGTAGAAAACAAAGACTGTAATAAAATTTATTCTGACATAATAAGAAAATCTCTTTTCAAAAGAAGCCACAAAAAGGGAAGTGCAGCCTTCATTCAAATTGCAACAAAAATATTCAAAAATCACATGCATCAGTAAGAACTCTGCCTTCTTCATAACACTGACATAGCTTAGGCATTTTCTCAGTCCTTAGGCAGCCCAACCTACTGTTAAAGCACAACACAAAGAAAAGACCACTGACTCCCATTTTAAATCAAATTAAAGTCCAGCTGGGACTGTCTCTCCTGAAATCCTTGGGTTAGAGGACAGTATTCCAGCTCTCTAGGAGGGCAGTTTTGTAGCACAAAAAGTTGCAAAAGGGGGGTGTCTTGAGAACTTACAGATAACAGGATTTTGACAAGCATAATACCAAGGCAGGTAATAGGTCAATGGTCTAAATGGTTCAACACTTAGGGAGTAAATTTAGATCCCAACATCAGAATTTATGAGGCGTCATTAGGGTTTCAGAGAGGGTTGTTATCTGGTCAGGGAAAGCCAGGGATGGGTGAGTTCAAGGCATGGGTGAATTCAAGGCATGGGCAGGCATTTCAAGCAAGTTTAAAACATCAAAATACGTCCAGGCCAAATAGAAATCCTAATATTTTACAGAAAACAGAAATGAATCCTTTACAACTTTTGACAAGATGGCTCCTGATCTTAAGAGAGAATTAGGCTGGGTTTATCACCTACTTCTATCCACATTGAAGAGGTTACGAAGCATAGGATATAAAATGATCTAGTGTTAGGTGTAAGGGTAAAAGAAATTGAAGTTAAAGTGTAAAAGACCGGGCATTGTAAAGTTTCTAAGCTGCAAGGCCTGAGTTAAAAAGTAAAGGACCAGGTATTGTTAAGTTCCTATGCTACACGCAAAACCTGAAATTCCTGTAGCTGTTAGGACAATACCCGGAACTGCCCAGTAAATATTCCCCCTGACCATCTGGTTATTTAATAACCTAGGACCCTGTATGGCTTGGCACGTAGGCATCGCAGGACCTAAACCAATCAGTTTGAATGTGTACCCCGCTTTAGAACTGACCTATTACTCCCGCCCAACCTGTTCCCGCCAATGAATGTACTAATCCTGTTTAAGAGTTGTTGTTTGATTTTCCCGCGTTGTATGATGATTTGTTAAAGGAGACTGTGATGTATGTAAAGTCCCCGCCCTCCCCAAAAAGTGTACTTAAGCACTGTTCAACCCCTGCTCGGGGCTCTGGGCTGCTCTCCCTTCTTGAGTGAGCACGGAGCCCCAGTGCGCTGGATTGGATCCTCAATAAACCCCTTTTGCTTTTGCATGAGCCAGTCTCTTGGTGGTCTCTTCCTCCGACGTTCGCCGGACCCTTACATTGGCACTTCCTGACTCCACCAATATTGATGTATAGAAAAGAAAGTGAACATTGGGGTATAAGTACAATTCCAAACACTTGAAATTGCTCAGGAAAAAGTCTTGGTAAGTTGGAGAAGCCAACAAATTGCCTGTCTAGGAAGGCAAAATGAAGTTTCAAAATGGGATAAGGATGGTTTTGCTCAACAAGTCACCAGATAGGCATGAATCTTCCTCATCTTGGTAATGTTTTTTTTAAAAAAATGCTAGTGAAGTTTGAAAAATAACCTTTCTTTTTAAGTCTGGTGCTCCATACCCAAACCAAGTTATAGCAGAAAGGAGACAAAGCTAACTTCAAAAGAGCCTCATGATGCCAGATACAAAGCAATGACTTCTCAGCAATGAAACCAGTATGTTGCAGAGATATCTGCACTCCTGTGGTCATTGTACTATTATTCACAATTGCCAAGTGATGGAATCAATGTAAGGGTCCATCAATGGATGCATGGATCAGGATAATGTCACACACACACACACACACACACACACAATGGAATACTATTCAGCCCTTTTATCTTTTCTTTTTTCTTTCAGGTGTATATTTGTGTGTTCCTAATTATATCATTATCACCAACTCTGAGCATCTTTTTTACACTGGTAACAAAGCCAAAAGTGGATAAATTTAAACCCAGTGTTAGGTCGGTGGAGGTGGCTGAGGAACAAAGCACCAAGCAACCCAAGAGCCAAAGAAACATCAATCAGACACTGACGGAACCGCCTGTCAATCAGCAGGGTCTCCTGGCCAATCCTGGATCTTAGCCAGCTCGCCTGACAAACTCCAGTAGGATAAGGGACTCTAAAAACCCCTTTTCCTGTCCCAAGCCCTCCCTTCCTGCCCTAAGTCCAATAAAAATTCCAGTCCCATAGGGACCCTGCATTTCTTATCAGACCCAACCTGCTGGTTTGAGGGCTCCGACTGAGAGGCACAGAAACAAACAAAAAGCCTCATTCAGCAGCATTTTAAAATCTGCCTCTTTATGGTTGCCGCTGCCTGACCTTACACCCAGATTAAGCAATGACTGTTTTAATGTTTTGTCTTATTAGGAAGTGACCTAGGTAGTCACTGAATAGACATTGTTTCATTTAGTTGACTCAGACTAAGGGTATAGCTCTTCACGAGACTCGGGAAACTTAAGCAGGCATGCTCTACAACATAATTAAAGATTAATATAACATTTTTAACTCCTTTCAGTATGGTCATTTGATTTTCTCAATTTCAATTAAAAATATCTCAACTTTTGTGACTCTGAACACCTAACAACAACAACAACAACAAAAAAAAACATTGTGTGTCTGTATATTGTACAATATTTAATGTGCATAAATCTGACCAGGGCTGAGTGTTGTAGATCAGTGGCAGAACATGCCATTAGCTTATGTTGAGACCCCAGGGTTATCCCAGCAACCTCCACCCCCATAGAAATGTCTACTTGGAGAATACTAATATTTATTTACCAAATCTACTAAAATCATGTAAATTGTAGAAACAGTTTATCAATTTGTGATCACCCTAGTTTAGCTTGGTATGACATAGATGATATACAAACACCTATATTAATATAAATGCTGCCAAAACATACCAAACATATACCTATACTATATGCATAAGAATACAAATGAAAATAAAGATCTTGTTGTTTTTTATTTAAAATTGTAGTCATTAGGGCTGGGTATGTAGTTCAGGGGTAGAGCATTTGCTTAGCATGAATGAGATCTGGGTTTTACTCCCCAGTCCCACAAAAAAACAATTTAATCACTAGATAGGTACAAAGTTTGGTAACTTACAAAGATGGCAGAGATCCAACAGAGAAAAACAGAGGCCTCAGAAACAGCCTGAAAAACAGCTCTTAATCAATCTAAATTGATTATAGGGCTCTTTGAAAAAAATCCTCTTAGAATATCTCCTTATTGGGTTTTGTATGAAACATTTTTAAAAAAGAAAATTTTATCATTTGCAATAATATGAATGAAACTAGAGGACATTATGGGAGATGAAATAAGCCAGGCACAGAAACAAACAAAAAACATAGTGTCACATGATCTTACTTATATGTTGATAAAAAAGTTGAACTCATAGAGGCAGAATAGAGTGGCGGTTACCAGAAGCTGGTGGCGTAAGAGTTGGGGAGATGTTAGCCACAGGAAACAAAATTTCTGTAAGCTAGGAAGAATTATTTCAAAAGATCTATTGTACAACATGGTGACTATCCTTAGTAACAACATGCCGTACTCTTGAATATCACTGACCGTAGATTTTAAGTGTTCTCACCTCAAAATGTAAGTATGTGAGGTAACGCATATGTTAATTAGCATGACTTAGTCATTTCAAAGTATATACATATTTCAAAACATTATGTCATATATGATAAATATGTACAGTGTTATTTGTCAATCAAAGAATTGAATATTAATTAATTAAACATTCATATTATTCTTAAACTTATATAACATACTTTTTTAAATTCACATACATTTGAACTTATATTTACAAGTCACATTTTTTTCCGCATTTGAATTTTTCCTGTGTGTTCATTTGCAGGTGAATGATTTCTAGGGATGGGCATATAAATACAAAATCAGACAGGACTATATTTTTATACCCATACTCAGAAAACAGAATATAGAATGTATCCAATTTACTGGTTGGTTGCAAGAATAATAAAAGGCTAGCAATAAGGAAGACACTATATAATATTTTTTAAAGCAGCAATAATAAATAGAAGGTGACAAAAGAAAGTTTTCTTATTTTATACACTTGAAACGAGCAATCATTTCTTCAACACAGCTGTGTTGAAGTATAATTCACACACCATAGAATTCATTCATTTAAAATATACAATTCTACAATTCTAGAAGATTTTTCATTATCCCCAAATGAAACCCTGTACCCTTTAGCTATCATCCTAAATCTTCCCCACACCCAGCCTTAGGCACCTACTAATCTATTTTTGCCAACTTTAGACAAACAAAATCATATAATACTTTGTGTGTCTGACTTCTTTCACTAAAAATAAGGATTTTAAGGTTCATGTATGCTTTATTAGCATGTATCAGTAAGTATTTAACTTGTTTTAGTTGCCCCCCAAATTTGACTGTATGGATATACCACATTTAAGATAGCCATATGCTAGTTGATGGGTTCAATTTTTTGACTGTCATGAATATTCATGTTCAATACAAGTTTCCTCTAGGAAACTTTCACTTCTCCTAGGTGTGTATCTGGGAATGGATTTGGTGAACAACCTGAGGATTGCAATGGTTTTCCAAAGAGGTGGCACATTTTACATTAATAATGCTTATTCTTTTTTTTAGTATTTAATTTTTAGTTGTAGTTGGACATAATACCTTTATTTTATTTATTTATTTTTTTACTCTACCCTTTCCCCCATTTACCCTCTCAGGGTCCTGTTTCAGCAAGGGCTTGGTGATGTGACATGCAATAAGAAGATTACACGTGCCTGATAAACTTTCCTTAGCACACACAGGTTTTAATGGTCTTCTGTCTTGCCTTTCATCAAGAACACGCCTGGTTTTCTTCCCTGGGGACCAGACAAAATAATCGGTTACTTAGGCAAAATGAGCTGAAACTTCCCCTTGTCTGATGGAGTGAGTTTATCATTGTGCCTCTATGGCTTGCACTTTCCACTAGAGAGCTTTTGAAAAGGAAGAGAAACTTTTGGGCTTCATGTCTCTTTCTATTATTTACATAATAAGGAAAACTCCAACACATATTTGGATTGCCTCCAGGACTAAACAGAATTAGTGACACTTCCTCATCTCTCATAATAGAGGTTGGAAGAGAGAATATGACAAAAAGCACAAGATTGAACAGAGAAACGGACAGCACCCCACACCCTGTCAATGTGGGGGGCAGGGTGTTTGTATGCACATGTGTGCATGTGGCAGGTGATGGGTATAAATAGAAGCCCTCGTCTCCTAAGGCTGTTCTATTTGTGATTATGATATCAGACTAGTGTAGCTTATTTGGGGCCAGTTCATACTCAGCACAATATTTTACTTATCAGAAGTTAAGTATAAAAAGACATAAGATACAACCAAATTTCAGATAAACCAGAATACTAATCTCAAATTTATTTGTTAATAAAACCTATGACTTTTTTTCAGAAATTTTAACTGTGTACACTGATGATCTCAAATATATATATTTTCAACACATGAACTATTGTTCCAGTAGTTGAAATTTTTAATTTAAAAAAATGTTGAATTTTACATACCGTTTTAATTGTTTAATCACAAATACTAATATAAACTTAAATTTATGAAGATTTTCAGAGTTAAAAGAAGTGTTTATATCACCTAATATGCAATATTTCTTAAAGGAGAAAAAAAAATCCCACCATTCATTGTCAATGTTAATTCCTTAAGACTTTCCACTAGGCCTTTAGTCACTAAGTTATTCTTCTATTCAGCTGCTCTCCTATCATCTCAAACCTGAGTTCAGCAAGGCATTTTTGAAGAAAGCAATTACAAAGAAATTTTCCTAACAGTGGTTTCAATAGTAAATATTTCTTTCAGTGATTACAATCTACAAAGAGAAACCAGCACTCCCTTCTCTCTCTTTTGCTTATCCTGTGTGAGACATTTGCTTTTCCACAGAGGTCTTAAAGAACTGTATATTTCAGTTTCTAAATGACACATTTGGTACAGAATTCCTTTTTCTTATTTACATGCTGTATTACAATTTTAGGGAGGGCAGATGGGAGGCAGAATCTTCCCACGGACATCCTGAAAGTCTTGAACTGTGGCTGCTTGATGGTCTCCTAGACAGGCCCCTTCTGGATTTGACTTGGTCTTTACTCTCACTTTTTTTCAAACAACATTTCTACCATGGTTAACAGGAAAATGGAATTCATGCTGCATGGACACTTGACATTGAGTATTGCCTAGGGAACAAGAGGAAGAAGGCAGAGAGAGTCGGGGGCGGGGGAGAGGGAGAGGGAGAGAGACACGGAGAGAAGGAATATGGAGTTGAGCTGTGGATGGCACAGCAGAGTTCTCCCACAACTCCAATCCAGGTCTATGGCCAGTGTCTTAGTCCATGCTGTGCCACACCAGTCATTTAACTATTTTGAATAACAATGTGGTGGAGGGCTTTCAGCCCTGTGCCAGCTGAAGCCCTATGGGCACCGAGTCCCTGTATCTCATTCTCTGTCTGAAGGGATGAAGCTTTGAGTCCATCTCCCTCCCAGAGTCTTCATCTGCTCTTTGCATTTCTCCATTCAACTCCTGAAGCAATGCCAAGATCTGCAAAGCTTCGGAATCGGCTTCATTTTTTAGAAAAGTCGTTATTGGACAATCTTTTGCAGTTTGATTTTGATCTTTTCTTTCTCCTTTGATTCCTCGTTTATTTTCAGACCCTCTAGGTAATGGTGGATGGCCTTTTCCTTGCATTTCCTTTGATACAATTGGAAATTGCCGTACCTCAGGTGGAGCAATTGTCTACCCACAGGAGTAAGCTCCTTCCTGAATTCTTTTTGGAAGTAGTGGTCTGCTTCTTCATATTGACCTGCTATTGCATAGAGAGCAGCAATATAGCTACAGATATGCTGGAAATTTTCATTTTTCTCAACTTTCTTTAAGTGATCCACCCCTTGTCTTACTAGTTTCTGTAACTCCTCTCTTCCCCAGACATTTTCATTCTGTCTTCTGTTCCCTGTTTCAAGGATTTTTGACCTATAGCAGCACCCAATGTAGAAATGCAAGTAGGCATTGTCTTGCGTGTGTTTTAAGGCCCTTTTTAGCAGTTCTATAGACTTATCTAGGTCAGGTTTTTTTCTATAAAACTTCGCTGCAGTGCACAATACATCCATTGCATCTGGAGCTTCCTTTAAGGCTTCTTCAACTAAGCTCTCTCCTTCATCCTTTTCATTCACCTCTTGAAGTTTTAGAGCCAAGAGGACTTTAACATACTGATTGTGTGGATTCAGCTCCATGGCTTTCTTCAGGGTCTCAATGGAGTTCTGAGATGGTGGCCTGTTATCCAAACGGTAGCTCGCGATGGCCCATCCAAAGGTGGCTTCTGGGCTCTTTGGGTTCTTTTCCAAAGCCTTCTGGAAACACATCTTTGCTCCTTCATTTTGATTTTTTGTGCACTTTAACCGAGCCCATCCTTCCTCACACTCAAGCTCAGGACTCTCAATTCTGTAGGGGCTGGAAAACTTTGCACAGATGTGTTTCACCTTGTTCACGTAACTCTCAGCCAGTTCGAATTGGCCCATGTGATAGTAGACCCAGGCATAGTTTCCCCAGGTGACCAGACTTCTGATCTCTGCTTGGTCTTGATACTTTTCCTGGATTGACTCTTCAGCTTTCCCCAAGAATTCCAGGGCTGCTGCATGTTGGCCTCTGTGATGCTTTATGTAGGCCGATAGGTTGTACATTGTGGCTTTAAATTCATTGTTCTGAAACTCGCACTTGTTGAACACTCTGTTCTCGAACTCATCCAAGGACTCTTCTCCCTCCATCAAGTTCCAGGTGAAATGGCATTTTAATTGCTGTAGGCTGTTTGCCAAAGATTCCATAGTGCTCTCACTGTTGGGGAAAAAAAAAAAAAAGAAAGATGGACACTTTGAGACACAGTATAGAATCATCTGTCAAGAAGTGGGATCATAGCAAATAAAATATCTTCCTCTATTTTAACATAAATTTAAGAAGAACAAAATTTCCTTCCAATGTTTCAGCATATGTGTTAATTTCTACATGAGGAAGCAGGAGTTTGGTGACAATGGACAGCAGAATTACAGAGATGGACATGGGTCAGTTTGAGTTGAGGCTAGTTTTCCCAGAAGAAATCCAAGTTAGGTAATTCTGACAGGGCTGCAAAATCTTTGGAAACTGATTTCAGCAAAGGATTAAAATTTTATTTAGATAGTTTTAAAAGAAATCATAAGACTATTTAATTGCTTTTTGTTTGTTCTTCATCTTTACCTAGTATTTTGGAAATCTTAGTTTCATAGTTTTCTATTCTTTCTGGGACCCTGTTTTGCAGTGCTGATTTAAATTTCTTAGATTTTTTTTTTTGTACCAGGGATTGAACTCAGGGAAACTCTAGGCCACATCCCCAGCCTTATTTTGTATTTTACTTAGAGACAGTGTCTCACTGAGTTGCTTAGTGCCTCACTATTGCTGAGGCTGGCTTTGTACTTGCAATTCTCCTATCTGAGCCTCCTGAGCCGCTGGGATTACAGGCATGCACCATTGGGCCCAGAAAATTTCTTAGATATTGTTCTAAAATTTGCTTCTATTTTATCTTCTATATTCTTAATTCCTTAGTTCTTATTAATTTGCCTTAGGAAAAAAAAACCTTATTACTTTCCTCTAATCATTTCAGCTTTTAGTACATCCTTAATAAAGTTTCTATCCAAACTTTTTGAGCTTTTGTCAAATTAGTTTTGTTTTGTTATTTTATTTTGATAGTTTATGCTCTCATTATTTTGCTATTGAATCTTTCTATTTTAACCATTTAAATTATTTGCAATTATTCTTAATATTTTCTCATTTCCTCTGCTTTTATAGCATTCTATCTCTTAATATTATTGTTATATATGTTAGCAATATCTTTTGGAATAAAGTATAATCCTCCCCCCTTCTACTTTTTAGACTGGTGGTTTCTAAGCTTAACATGTCTCACAGAGCTGATCTATTAATAATTTGCATCTCCTGTTTTAGTTTTCTTTTGGAATCTTATTTTTCTCACTTGGGGTTTCCTCTTAGAATAGGAATAAGGAGTGTGGCTATGGGGGTCACTGAGTGCCTGATTGAAACACACACCCTAGAACCTCAGTTCAACTTACTAAATCATTATCTGTGGGGAGTTGAGTGCAGGAATCTGCCTCTAACAATTTCTTGAGGTTAATTATTACATATGCACAAGTTTGAATGTTGTAGGGACAGACCAGGCAAGGCACCGAAGATAGCAGGAAATAGTTTTATCTGGCTGCAGCCAGGTTCAGAGGGCACAGCTTTTGCTGTAATAAATCAATCCCCTGAACCCCGAGTTCAGGGAGTTTTATACCCAGCATGTAAGGGGAGGGGCTCAGAAGTTCACAGTCTGCAGAAGTTCACATAAAAGCAGCTTTTTCTTTCACTGTTCTGGGCAAGTTAACCCTTCAAGGACAGCACCTGAGAAGGGGAGAGCTATTTTTCCCCTTCCTTTCCTCCCCCTGCCAGCTGTTACCATGGAGCCCAGTTGGGTAACTTATCTTAAAAATGTAGACATCTCTGTGAAGCCTAGCTCAAGGCCAGAGGCCTTTTTTGCACATTTCTACAAACTACTATACAGGATACATTTGTGAAAAACTAGTAAGGGGGTGCCCAGCACCTGGAGTGCTGACTTCTTCCCAGCCAGTGACCAAGTAAGATAGGGCAACACGAAAATAGAAAGTTTATCTGCATTGAACTCTTTTGTAGAGACTCTCTTGCTGACAGTCCTAAAATCAGCCATGGTGGAGATTTCTGGAGAAGCCCAGTTAAGACTTTTCTATGGAGAAAGGTGGTGCCACCTTTTGAGAACTACTGTCTAAGAGCACAGTGGCAAAACCCAGGGGGAAGAGCCCATAACTAAAGAATCAAGTACAGTGAAAAGTGGAACTGATAGTTATGTATAGTTATTAAAAGATTCTAAGGTCAGTCCATGATAAAATCCTAAAAAATAAGAATAAAGTCCATACAGATTCTGGGTGATCATAGAAACAAATCTATAAACATCTTAATCTCCCCCCCCACCCCCCGTTTTTTCTTATCAAGCAGATACATAGACTAGCAGAGAAGTGCCATTTCAAAGACAGAGATTGGAAGCCTGACAGAAGAAGTCAGTGCATCTTCTAGGAACCAAGCACTGGATTCCAGAACTCTCCTCCACCCTACTCTCAAACTGGAGAAACAGAAGCTTCCCTTCCTTCCCAATGAGTTAACACTTTCTCTTCAGGACAATCTCATGTTTCTAGGCTAGGAGAGGATTTTAGAGATGAGGACTCTTTTCTCCACTCATCCCATCTTCAATTCATACTCTAATCCATCATTTGCGTAGGGCACAGGAGGAGTAAAATATTTCTGTTTAGTTACCAGCCCTGTACAAATGTGAGATGAATGGGGCCATTAAAAGAACTTTCACTTCAGCAGGAAGTGAGGTTGGTCTTCTGAATACATCTTCATCAATATCTACTGAAAAGAAATCTTTTGTTAAATAATATTTTTATTATAAGCCCTCAACTTAATCCTTTCCAATAGAAACAAAAGAGGGATAATTTGTAAGAGCAAATCCCCCAGACCCATCTTCATGACATGAAGACTCCAGCACAATTAAACATCTCTGCCTGCTTCTGTCTGACCTCAGCTCTCAGCTCCTGCAGATCTCAGGAAACCGGACTTTGTGCCGCCTTATGAGTAATCCGACAAGTGCTGATAAAGCAGATTAACAGCTACAGATAAAACAGATTAACGGCTACAGAGATCGAGGTGTAGGCGTAGGAACCGTTCAAGAAAACAGAACTGGTTTTGCTTGGGAGAAAGGCTGCTTAGGATTTGCATTCAAATGTGATCACACAGTTACAGTGTGAATAGAGAGGGGCGAAACTTTACCTGGTGGTTGCCGTGCAGTTTTCCATTGTGCTGAAGGGCTGCAAGTTCAGGCTGCTGTGCGCTTCAGAAACTTCCCTCCTCTGCCTCCGATAGATGCTGGAGAGACTCTTATATAACAGCAAGCCGGCAGTTACTCTTCCTGTTTCTCTGCGGTTGACTTTACAAAAGAGAAATTGAAACTGGAAAGTGAAATCAGGACTCTTTGCAGAGAAATGATCTTGAGTAATAAACAAGCTTTCCGGAACCAGATTTGTTAGAGTGAGTCAGAATGATCAGTTCTAGATCTAAGGCATCCTGGGAGCCCACTGTGGAGAAGAATACATTTACAGAGTACCGGTCCCCATCATTACCATGTAAATCCACCCTCATGCTTACGACCCACAGGCCACTGTAAGGAGCAGTTGCCAGCCACAGGGCAGGGCTTTTTAGTCTGTTTCGTTCACTGCCACTGTGAAACACCAGTCCCTGCATTAATATATGCACGGTGCATTGTATGGTAGACATTCAAAAAGTAGTTGTTAAATGAGTGAATATATGATTCAAAGCATGGGCTCTGATGTCAGTCTATCTGCATGTGAAATCAGTCTCCGTTTATATGCTATGAAATTTGGGGGAATTATTGAATGTCTCTGCCTAAGTTTCTTTGATTGCAATTTGGGAACAATACTGCTACCAACACATAATGGTGAGATGACAATTAAAAGAGTGTTTACGTGAAATTTAGAATAGTGCCTGGCACCTAATAACTAAATGCTAGCTTTTATTGTAATTATTAACTAAAATCACTAATCAAAGTGATAAATGGAGTCTCTCTCTCTCTCTCTCTGCTTTTTGATCATTTGAGCCACTTCCCTCTGCCACACTCTTCTTCCATGATGTTTTGCCTCACCTTGAGCCCCGAGGAATGGAGCAAGCCACCTATGGATCTGAGAACTCTGAAACCACAAGCCCCCCATAGAAACTTTTCTTCTCCTAAAAATGTTCTGGTTGGGTCCTTTAGTCACAGCTGGAAAAAGCTGACTAAAACAACTCTAAATCACAAAAGGATTATAGTTTACATAAAGTATTCTTGTCCTGCTTGGACAAAAGTAATAACACCAGATGCCTTTGGCACGGAGAAAAGGTGATACATACTTCCCAGCAAAACTGAGTCAGAAAGGTGGTTTACTCAATCTTAGAGAAAGTCACTTGTCTTGATTTTCTGCTTAGGTCAGGGTAGAAACAGAAACTATGCTTCTTAAAATCTTCTACCCTTTCATTAGGATCCACAGCTGTACCTATCCCAGTTGCAAACTCTTAACTTTTAAGCCTCACTCATAAATGACAAGTTCTAGTTCTGTTTACAAAATCTAGTATTTGTTTATAAAAATGAATAGGTATAGAAGAAAGCTGAAATAGGAAACCAGGGACACTTGTGGGTTTTGTTTTGGTGTTGGAGTTTGCATTCAAGAAAACTTAATGGAGTCCTGCCTAGTGGCATACATCTGTAATCCCAGTAACTTGGGAGCCTGAGGAAGAAAGATCACAACTTCAAGGCCAACCTGTACAACACAGTAAGGCCCTATCTCAAAATAAAATTTTAAAAAGGCTGGAGATGTAGCACAGAGGTAGAGCACTTGGTTAGCCTGTGTAAGAACCTGGATTCAATCTCCAGTTGAAAATAAATAAATAAATAAATAAAAGCCATACAAGAGTAACTGTTGAGTAGAAATGTTTAAATTATGAATAAAGGCACAGAGGTCAGTACACTAGTGGTCAGTACACTCTGAAATGGTTGCAGATAACTTTTTTCACCCTTCAGAAATCTCTCTGGCCCATACCTTATACAGGGCAACTACAATAGAGATGCACCTTGTAGCTTGTTAGTGCAAGAACACTGAGTGTCATTGCAAAGTAGAAACTGGAAAGGATGGCTAGCTGTCTTCTACTTGAGAAAAAAATGTATTTAGTGAAAGTTCTGATTACTCTGGTCACCACAAGTATTTGTGCATCTTTTCCCTAGTCCATAGGCCTAGGACTGTACCTATTTTAGCTTGGTTTCAAAAAGGGGGAGTTGCTTGCTGTTCCCAGAAAGGGGAAAGTCACCATGAGTATCTGCATTGGCTATAGGGAGGTAAAATGCAATACTTCTCACACTATAATCGGCAATCAGCATCAGCCCCATCTGGAAACTTGTTAGAAAGGCAAATTCTCACACCCCTTCCTAGACTGATGGAACCAGAAATCCATGTATTAATAAGCCTTCCAGATAATCCCAGCAAATTCTAAAGTCTGAGAATCATACCATACATTGAAAGTTTAATGAAAAAACTTTTACTTCCATGAAATAAAATACTATCCTTTTCTATTGAGATTGTTTTTAAATTGATGCTCTTTTTGTTATGTATCTATGTGAGGATTTTTGTCTACCTAAGTGAACTGGAGGCTAGTCCAATAGTGTTCACACCTATATGACCTGTAATGTGTGAATAACGTGCTCCCACCTGATTCAGCATTCACTCCTTTACTCATTCATGAATACACATATTTAAAAGAATCTTCCAAAAAAAACTTTAAGAAGATATAGTTAATAAAACAGCTCATTCATATTCTTTTTGTAAAAGTTGCTATAGTCAGGATAAGTGTCCCCCTCAAATGCCCATGTTTTAAAGGCTTGGTCTCTAGCAGTGGCACTTTTGGAAGATGGTGCAACTTTTAAGAGAGAGAGAATCTAGTGGAAGGAAGTTAGGTCATTGGGAGCATGCTTTTGAAAGAGATATTGGGGTTCTGCCCCCTTTCAGTATTTTTCTTTTCTTCCAGGCCACTATGAGGTGAGCATCTTCCTCTGCCACACCTTCTCTATCATGTTGTACTTCCCTGACACAGGCCCAAAGGTAATGGGGCTAAATATAGCACAAAATAGACTAAGACATTTTCAATGTTAATTTTTTGAGAGTATATTTGGACAGTTTTTGATTGGGAATGTGATAGAAGTAAATGAATTTACTTCTCTGTAGCCCTAAGCAAATAGCCCAAAGAAAATAAGCTTAGGTAGAGGTAACTTGGACCCTTATTTCTGTTAGACTACTAGGGATATTTCATTTACTCATTCTTTTTTTTTTATACCTTTATTTTGTTTAATTGTTTGTATGTGGTGTTGAGGATGGAACCCAGGGCCTCGCGCATGCCAGGCGAGCACTCTACCACTGAGCCACTACCCCAGCCCCCTCATTCTTCATTCATATTTTCAACCAATGCTTATGATATGCAATGTGCTAGGCACCTCTCTAGGCTCCTGGACACATTCGTACACAAAGATATGTCTCCCTGAGTTTAATCTACCATAAAGAGAAGACAATAAACACAATTGTTGTGGACTGAATTGTGTCACCCTTCTCTTCTCAAAATTCATACACTGAAGCCCTAACCACCAAGGTAACTATAAAGACATACAGCCTTAGGGAAGTAATTAAGGGTAATGAAGTAATGAGTGCTAATTTGATAGCACTCATGTTCTTATAGGAGGAGATACCAGAGATTCCCATGCCTGTACGTGCACACACACACATTCACACACACAAAAGGCCATGTGAGGGTACAGTGACGAACTGGCCATTTGCAAGCCAGGAAGAGAGGCCCCACCAGAAACTAATCTTTATGGCATCTTAGTCTTGGACTTTCAGCCTTTAGAATTGTGAGGAAAAATAATTTTCTGTTGTTTAAGTCACCTAGTTTGTGATTTTTTTTTTGTTATGGCAGCCCAAACAGACTAACACAATAATAAATAAACTAGATAGCATATGATAAGTGCTATGGGAAAAGAAAGTGAGCAGAGAGGGTAAGGATTGTATATGAGGGACGGAAGGGGCTCAAGGTCTAACAGCCACTGAGTTATACAGCTGGAAACCTCTCTAAGCCTCAATTTTGTCATTGTTAAAATAGGAACTGTATCAGTTCTTACCATACAAGGCTTAATGAAGATTAAGTGAATCACTGTATATAAAGGGCAGAGAATAGTGCCTGGCACATAGTAAATGTCCAATAACAGAGAGTCATCTCTATATACTACTGCCACCACTACTATTGGGGAATGGCATTTACTTCTAGGGCCAGAGGCCACTTACTTAAAAGTGGTCTATTCTCTACTGTGGAGCATTGACTATATAGAACCATCAGTATTGGTGGATGCCACTGAGTTGCTATATCGCATTCTTTTTCTTTTTATCCTTTTTCTTGGCCAGGATACTATTTCAGAAGGAGAATTAGTGTCTCTGTATAAAGGGATACTTCTGTTGCCAAAAGCTTTGGAATGTTTAACTCAAACTGAAAATATTTTAGAATTGGGGAAAATCAAGTTTTGAAAAAGTGCTCAAAAGAGAAAAAATGTTGCTCTCATAGGGTTCCTAAATTGGTATAAGGCTAGCTGCTATAACAAAGATGTTCTTGTTCATATGACCATCCCAGGTTGGTTTTCCTGGACAGCTGGAAGTCTGTGCAATGATCCAAGAATTCAGATTTCTTCCAACACTTCTTTTCATATCCCATTAAGAAGAGTTAGTATATTCTCTCCTACACAGAAAGGGAGGATGAGAAATGTAGTTCCTGAATAAGATTCCTCTCAGTGACAACTTTGAGCCACAGAAGATGAGTACTGGCTTGGGTGGATCATGTGCTGCTTCTACCTCAGAACCCTACTCTTGCTCTAAAGATCCACGTGTACCCTTCCTGCCAAACATAGAACATGCTCAGACCTTGGCCAAAGGAGCCCATCCAGAATCAAGGCAATCACTGCCCTCAGCTTGTGGTGAGGGATCTGTGAAGTGAGGCACTGTCCTCTCCAATGGTCTGGGTAAGATTCTTTGTGGTCTGGAGATTTAAGAATCAAAAACAAAGACTAAAAGTCTAGATAAGACTAGCTATTTCATATGTATTATGTGCAGTGCTAGTGCAGGATAACAAGAAACACACCCAATTGAAGAGAATATGGAAAAATTCTAGGTCTATGGCAGTGATGAAACTCTGCTGGATGGGCCTTTTGATGATCCACTACCCTGGCAATGGTGAAAGTTTCTTGATTTGACCCTGGTTCTGTCATCTGATAGGAACTACCCTGCCATTGTTCTCCAAACACCTTGCTTCATCCTCTGGGAAGTTCTTTTTGACATTTAGTCTCATCTTTGCACCATGGGATAAGGGTTATGTTTTTACTTTGTTGGTCCTAGAGCTTCCTGTAATCAAATAGGACCTTTGTTAATAATGATTCTTAAGGAGAACATTAATTAATACCCTCAAAGTATGTCTCCTGCATTTTTTTCCGTATTTGATTCTGAGAATCAAAAGTTGTAAAAATAGATTATCATGAAAATATCAGAAAGGAAGAGGGATATGAAAAAGTCCACATAAAAGTACAAGAGACAGCATAAGTGGTCAGAAGAAATGTGCGGAATGTTCAAGTGTTCACTGCAGGTGTATGGATTTCTTCTTTTTTTGAAATGAACAGTAGGGACATTTCCACTTCTTTTGTGAGCTGCATTAGCAGGGCTCTGGAAGCCAAGCTTCTAAGGTACTCTTGGGTTTTCCCACCAGACTTTACCTATTCCTCTATACTTGTTGTGTGCTTAACAAAAGGCTTTAGGCAGTGATCCCCACCATTTATTCTAGGCCAAACACTGTGGGTTAAAATTCCATAATTTTATTATGAAATAAAAGCCCTGTTCCCTCCCTTTCTAGAGTTTGTAATCTGATTGCAACATTAAATTTGCATGCATCTAAAATGACAGAGAGAGGAAAGCCCATGGGAAATGAATAGCACAGGGAATGTATGAAACTATTCTTGCTTTATTGGAAATCAAGAAAACCTGAAGGGCACATGTATTCTCAGCAGGAGCTGCATCCTGAGAACAACGTGTGTGAACTCTTGGAACACTTGAACTGCTGTGTGAACTCTTGGAATCAGACATATGCCTTTCAACTTGGAATTCATTCATTACATTACTTGACATCCATTGGGAGCCCACTAGAAGCTTGTTGCCTAAGAAATTATTTCCTAACACTGATGACAAAAGAATATAAAAACCAAAATCCAGCAGGAAGTCATAGAGGAGTGGTCAGAACAGTCTACTCGGAGAAGATTGATTGACCAAAAGTCAGTTTTGATTAACACAATTATGGATAAGTGAAAAGAGTTGGAGGGCATTTTGTGTGTGTGTGTGGGGGGGTGGTTGGTGATAGAGATTTGCAAACATGAATGTGGGCTTGCACACATCAGGAATGGAACTGTTTTGTGCAGTGGCTACTAAGAAGGGGTCACAACATTCTGGTCTGACCTTCTTTGTCTTGAATTGGGTTTACTTTGTTTGACTATGTAATAGATGTTCTGGGAACAAAATTCAAACAGACATACTGTTGAAGGTAAATCTTCCCAGATGACTATCTCCCTCTCTAGAGACTACCTTGAAGAGAAAATATCCTTTCCCAAATATTTTATGCCTATTCAGGTGCTCTTAATGACAATTAACCATTTCCCCCTACTATATCCTTTATTATTTTAACAGCAACACATGATAGAGCCTGTTGTGATATGCCTTTTTTCCTTCTTTCATTCCTCCTTTCCTCTCTCTCTTCCTTCCTTCCAACAATGTTAACATGCTATATACACTCTGTACTTTTATCTATTTATATTTAAATATATCTTGGAGATAAGAGTTCTATATTTTTTCATGTTGAACTGCTTTATTGTTATTATTTGCAATAGTGACATGATATCCCGTGTATGGAATGTTAAAATCAAATTAACAAATCCTCCAATGAGTCATTTTCAGTCCTTTTTAGTTCTTTGTTTTTATAAACAAAGCTTCATGAACACCACGTACATGTCTTTGCATGCACATGCAAATATTCATATGAATGGAATTGCTGGGGCAAAGATTGAGATGCTCTTTTTTATTTTTTATTTTTAAATACATGACAGTGGAATGTATTACAATTCTTATTACACACATAAAGATTCAGTTGCTCTTAATGACAATCAACCATTTCCCTTTTACTATATCCTTTATTATTTTAACAGCAACACATGATACAGCCTATTTATCTATGTCCTTGGTAGTATACTCTTAGGAAAGATATTTTTCTTGCTGATCTGAAATAGCCTCACTTGCAGTGTTGGTTTAAGTTGCTTTTTATGAATGACACTGACAGTCTTTCATGTGTTTAAAAGCTATTTTCATTTTCTCCCCATTCCTGACCTTTGCCCATTTTTCCCCTTGGGCTGATGTCTTTTTGGTCTTGATTTACTAGAACTATTTCAATATTAAGGAAATTAATTTTTTTTTACCTAGTAATGTATAGAAATATTATCATTTAGTTTGTCATTTACCTTTGGACTTTTTTAAGGTATTGGCTTCATGTAAGATATATTGTAATACAGTTGAGTTTATTAATAGTTTGGGATTTTGTTTCATACATACAACTTCCAGACCCTACAACTTCCAGACCCTAAGATTTTTTTTAAATTATCTCAAGAATTCTTGAGGCAATTTTATGATTTCTATTTTTTGAACACTGAAAACTTTGATTTATAAAGAATCCATTTTGGAGTTTAAGAAGCCAGGAGGTGGGACCAGTTACCAGGGGAGTTCTAGTCTCTTTTTATTCAGCAAATACTGAGTGACTACTGTGTGCCAGCCAATGTGCAGAGCATTGGGCCAGAGAGTCTCCTGGGGAATCTGGTACACAATGAGAATAAACCAGGGTCACATAATCTCAAAGCAAGTGCTTTGGTTAAAGGAGCTTTGGCTCAAAATCCATATGACAGAAGGAAAGTTGATTCTAAATATCTGCATTTGTATGAGAATTCTTAGAACCTGAAAGAGAAACAAGTGAAAAGCCCAGTCATCTGCTCAGCTCTCTCCGGCTGGGGCCGGCCTCCCCTTCCTCCCCACCCCCACCTTCATGACTAACACACAGGACCTCCTACTCCTCTTTCTTCTTCTCCTTTACCTCCCTCTGAAGTGCAGAGACCTGGTAGGAAGGTCTCTCGAGGGCCTTCTGCTCTGCTGGGTGGTGGGCCCCACCTGTACCCTCTGAGGTTTCATTCCTACCCATCCCATCCAGGGACACAGAAGGGTCAAATCTGCCAGCATCTGAGGCCGGATTGCCCAACGGGCATCCCAGTCCTCTCCCAGGGCCTCCAGCTGTTGATTGTCCCTTTCTATTCAGTTCCTGGATGAATCTGGACAGTTGCCACCCCACAGCATCTGAGGCATTTTCAGAGAGTCTTTTATTGGCGATTCTCCTTAGGTTTATGATCAGTTTTCCCTTCTCAGTCAATGACCCGTGTATGTTCAAGCCTGCCAGGTAATGGTGGATGGCCGCGTCGTCGCTCAACCTCTGGTACTGCTGGAAGTTGCCATACCGAAGGTGGAGCACTTGTTTCTCGGAAGGAGGGAGATCCTTACTGAATTCTTTCTGGAAGTAATACTCGGCTTCATCGTACTGGCCTGTGATAGCATACAGGCAGGCAAGGTCCGAGCAGGCCCGGGGGAGGTTGATGTTCAACTCAACAACTTTCTTAAAATGATCCACAGCATTTTTCATTATTTCCCGTAGTTTTTCTTCATCCTCATTAGTGGTGCACTTTCTTGACCTCTGTATTTGTCTAATTTTTGCTCTGTAGCAGCATCCAATCTGGAGATGTTGGTAGACATTGTTGGGTACTGATTCTAATGCCTTTTTGAGCAATTCTATAGCTGTGTCCAGGGAGCCTTTATTCCGGTAATATTTAGCAGCACTACAGAGTACATCTGTTGGACAAGGTGTTTTCTTCAAGGCCTCTTCAACCAACTGGTCTCCTTCAACTTCGGCTTTGTTCTTGACCTTTTGAAGAGTCAGAGCCAGGAGAACATTAACATACTGGTTGTTAGGATTCAGCTGGATGGCCTGCCTCAGGAGGCGAATGGTGTTTTCGGTTGGTGCTTCGTCACCCAGACGGTACAGTGTGATTGCCAGTCCTAGGGAGAACTCAGGATTGGTGGGTTTCCCTACCAGAGCCTTCTCAAAACACTCCTTAGCCCGTTCATAGTATTTTTCTCCCCATTTTAAAAGTGCCCATCCTTCTTCACAATCAATCTCAGGGCATTCGATTCTATAGGAGCTTGCAAATGTCTTACAGAGTTTTTCCACCTTGTTGATGTAAACCTGAGCTTCTGAGAATCTGCCCATGTGATAGTAGATCCATGCATAGTTCCCCCAGGTGACCATGCTTCTGATTTTGCCTTGGTGGTCTTGCTGCTGCAGATTAAACTCCTCTGCTCTGCGAAGGTATACCAGGGCCACCTCATGCTGGCCTCTGAGGTGTTTAACATAGGCAAACAGATTGTACATGATCGTTTTGAATTCTGTGTTTAGAAATTCTACCTGATCACGAACTCTGTCTTCTAAATCCTGTAAGGAACTTTCTTCATCATATAAATTCCAGGTAAAGTGACATTTCAGTTGTGGTAAGATATTTTCCAAGGAATGTTTGGCAATTTCACTACAGGGGAAGAAAAAGAAAGAATTGAGGATAACAGGCAGCAGTAGCAAAGCAGTGCTTTTGGGGCATGGCTGCTTGATCACATCTCAGATATAAGATGAGAAATTTGAGACTTTTTTCATTATTCTTAAATACTAGTAGCTCAACTCTGAGTCCCATGCCCTCTTTTTCATTCTGTCTCAAACAAGGTGGTGAAAGAAAATTAACTAATGGAGCAGACATGGGGGTCCATTAGTTAATTTTTGTCATACTAACATGGGGAGCCAGCACTCACCCTGAACAACACTAGCTAACTAGCTAGTCATTAGCTCAGTGTCCTGGCCAGGCCAACCTAAAAGTGCAGGAGAGCATTTCCTTCCACCATAGTTAGATTTGCTTCTAGATTTACTGGGTTCAAGTCCCTTTTGCCAATCTGCCCAAATACTTGTAGATCAGTCAATGACCTGCGTATGAATAGAGAGAATGCTCTGAGTCCTTTCATAGGAATGGAGTGTGCATACAAAATTAGTTTATTCAGGTTGTTCCATAGTGAGTATTTTATCCATCTGAGGTTGGGCCTATGAGGATAGAGCTATTTATGTCACTGTCCCCATTGATTTGCTTTGCTGAGCTGGCTCATAGGACAAATTCAAGATCTAAAATAATTCAAATGCTTCCTACTCCTTACCTGGATGGGTACCACCTGATGCCATAGCCCACTACCCTTTCCTCCTGGTTAGTGGCCAAATTCCCTGTAGCCACAGAAACAACAGACACATTGTGTACAAAGAAGGAGAGAAATCTGGAGTAGATGAGAAACACACCAAAAATTCTACTCACAAAAATCAAGGAGAAAACTATACACAGAAAATAAATAATACAAGCATCATTTTTAATAGCTAAAGGGTTCTAACAAATGGTAAAGAAAATTCTAATGTGAACAGGTCATTTAAAATTTACCAACATATATGAAAAAGGTTATTGATAATCAAAGAAATGCAAATTAAATGAACAATATTATTCAGTTATAATTTTTAAAAAATTGAATCTGACAAGAATATGGTGAATTGGACATTCTCATACAAGAGTACTTGGAGAATATTTTGACTAGAACTTTTAGGGTATTGTTACAAAATGTAATAGGTATTTTAGACATAAAAAATTTGAATTTTAGGAATGTACAAAACATTAATTATTCAGTCAAAGGTTGTGATGGTCTTTTGATATGTCAACTTGGCTAGGTTGTTGTCCCCAATTATTCATTCAAACACTAATCTAGGTGCTGCTATGCAGGTATGTTGTAGATAGGATTAAAGTTTATAGGTAGTAAATTTAAGTAAGAGAGAGAGCTAGATAATCTGGACAGGCCTGAATTAATCAATAGAAAGGCTTTAAGTGCAAAGCTGACCTTCTGTAGTCAAGAAAATACTTCCTGTGACAGCAGCTACAGCCTGTGCCCCAGGGTTCCAGTCTGCCTTCCTGGATGGCTTGTCCCATAGATTCCAAAAGCCTGTCAACCCCTACAGTCCTATAAGACAATTCCTTGCAATGTCTCCATTCTAATGTCCACCAATTCCTTGATATGTCTCTTAAGACATATCTTCTATTGCTTTCAGTTCTCTGCTTAAACACCAGTTGTCTGAAAGGTTAATGAACTAAGGAGGCTCACTGCAAAGACAGTTACAATTGCTTAAATTTTTCAAAAACCTAGATGATGTTCTATATAAAAATATTTTAAAAAGCTGGGTGCTGTGGCGCACACCTATAATCCCAGTGGTTGGGGAGGCTGAGACAGGAGGATGGTGAATTCAAAGGCAGCCTCAACAAAAGTGAGGAGCTAAGCAACTCAATGGGGCCCTGTCTCTAAATAAAATACAAAATAGGGCTGGAGATGTGGCTCAGTGGTTGAGCACCCCTAAGTTTAATCTCTGGTACCGCCCTCCAAAACAAAAAATTTTAAAGTATTGTAGGACAAGCAATTGAACATGATACTACTCTAGTTCCTTCCTTAAAATTCACTTTAGACTTTAATTCACAAGGAAAAAAGAAAAGAGGAGTACAAAATACAACAAAAATTTGAAGACTCTGAATGAGTTAGACAAACAGTAATTGCTCACCAAACCCAAGAAAAGTAAATCTACCAGCCATGGGAGAAATTTAAAAAAGCAACCTAATGTATAATGCAGAATTCTCCAAAGGCTCAGGTATTGGTAGCACAGAGTGCTGCAGAAGTGTGTGTGTGTGTGTGTGTGTGTGTGTGTGTGTGTGTGTTGAAAGAAAGTTCTATGTTAGAAAACCAATTTATAGTGCCTAAAATCTTAAAAATCAAGAACAACCAATAATCATATTATTTAAGTATTTTACAAAACAGTCACTAAAACACTTACACAGTAAATAGTAACCTCTAGAGAATGGGAAATAGGGTGGAATGGAGGTGGGGGGGCTGCTATTTTCCATACATTTTATAGATCATGTTGACTATTTAAATGGTGTGCATGTATACATTTGATGAAACTGAAAAAGAATGAATCTGGTATAAGGTGAGAAAAAAAGGAGAAAGGAGAGGGGAAGGAAGAAATGAAGGAAAGAAGAAAAAAAGAAAGACACATACATACATATACTCGCACAACTTTTTTTTTGAAAAATTTTCAAAGTTGACCATGTATATTACACTTAGTTTAATCTTATCTTTTCACTTAATAATACACACACACACACACACACATATGCATATATGTAGTGTTTTTTTTTCTGGTTGGTGATATTAGGCGCAATAGGAATTTTCCCCTTATACTTGATGATAATTTCTTAACATTTCTTTAGTGTGCTTTCTGTATTTTTATCCTGAGAAAATTTTTTCAGGATTCTAGTTTGTCCTTTTACTTTTTAAAGACCACTGAAGATATAAAACAAAACAGAAAGGGAGTGCATGGGTGTTGGGATTAGTCATGCCCAGCTTCTCTGGTGGCTCTAGGGGACTTCAGAGATAGAGGATCCTTGCTTAGTGACATTCTGCGGTTCCTTGAAAAAGAATTGCTCAAGGTAATCAGCTCATCCCCTACCAGCGCTGCCACCGCGGAGCTCTGATAAAGAAGTACGCCACCCTTAAAAATTATAATGAACTAACCTATGCTTCTGGCTGCCTTTCAGATGAAGAACCTAAAAAACAAGAGCCTGTGAGAACATTTCTGCCCCTTTTGTATTCTTAACTGACGAAGATGTGGCCGCGATGAGGGATTCGGATAGCCCGCCCCTCCCCCTCCGCCAACAACAACCGCGACGTTCCTCCCAGCTCCAGGTCCTGGCCACTTCCAGTTTAGGATTTCTAAAAGCTTCCTTTAGGGGAAGCCTCTAGGAGCCCAGATGTGCCACAGAACTTAAAATACCAGATTTAGGGGGAAAAAAAAAAAGATCATTCTTTGGATTGTGGCATGCTGCATATTTAAACAGATGGCAAAATCCAGCCCTTGAGAAAATCTGCTTTGAGATTTTCAATGGCATTAGACATAATTTGAAGGAATCAATACAAGAAGAAGAAGAAAAAAAATCCTTTACCTCATGGTCGCTGCCCTGCGGTCCTGCAGTGTTCTGGCGAAGGCTGATTTGCTGTTCAGAATTCTGCCTAAGTGGACTGCGGAGCCCAGAGGAAAGGAAGCCCCGTGCTGTTAATGAAGGGTGCCTTTATGTGTATTTGCAAATATGAAATGGAGCTTGTTCCTGGCAAGTACTACTAACTTTCATCTACACTGGTTTCCTGCTGTAGGAAAAGGAGACTTTCACAGGGAGAGCTTTTATTTTTCTGGTTTGGGACTCAACTGGGATGGAGTGTTTGGAGGAAATGTGTGCAAGGCAAAGGGAAATTTACTAGAGGGAGGATCAGGAATGTAGCCATGGGGGAAGTATAAATCTAAAAATAACCATTGGACTAGGATGGTTTCTGGAGAAATGTCACCACTAGCTAATAGTGATCAAAATTTTTGTTCGGGACTTCATTCTACTTATTCATTTACCAGATTAATAAGAGAAGATGTGCTATGGTTAAGTGCCGGTGGGTTTAATCTCCAGACAATCAATCAATCAATCAATAATTCAGAGAGCTTATGCAGCCTGCCCAAGGAGGGAAGTTCAGGTCTGTCTGACTCTTACATTCTCATTTGTTCATTGTGCTTGAGATCAAAGACTCTGGATCTAAATTGCATGGGTACCAATTTCTGCTCTGCCATTCACTACTTGTGTAAACTTGTATCCATTCTTCATCTATAAAGATAATAGGAGTTCACATAAATAAGTTATTGTGGAGCCTTAAAATGGACCCCAGCATATGATGGCTGCAAAGGGAGTATCTGCTCTCACTGTTGGATATTTGGAATGAGTTTTGGCATTGGCTCTAGTTCCTGGCTCTGTCACCAACTGCCTTGACAGACAAATCATAAAGCAGGCCTCATTTTTATTCTCAGAGAAATAAACTAATTAGCCTGGATGATCCTTCAAAGGCCTTTCTCAGTATAAAAATCTGTGACTCCAAAATCTCATGGTTCTGTATCCTGGAATCTAGTTCCCACCATATGTACAAGTTCTCAATATCTGGCCCTATGATGGATCAGACCTCATAGCCCATGGGTGTGTCTTATTGCCAGATACTACCATTGATCCTACCTACCTTTAATGCCTCCTCTCAAGTAGTCTTTTATGTCCTAAAGTAGTTCCAAACTGAGATGTCTTCATCAGCTATCAAGTTGTCTTCATTAAGCTATCAGTAAAGTGTAGTGGTGACATGCTTGGGCTTGGTTTCTGGAATCTTTTTTTTTAAAAATATTTATTTTTTTTAGTATTATGTGGACACAATATTTTTTTTTACCTTGAATTGATTTATTTTTATTTTTTATTTATATATGACAGTGAAATGTATTACATTCTTACTACACATATAGAGCACAATTTTTTGTATCTCTGGTTGTATACAAAGTATATTCATATCAATTTGTGTCTTCATATATGTACTTTTAGATAATAATGATCATCACTTTCCACCATCATTTCTAACCCCATGTTCCCTCTCCCTATCCCACTATGAATCAGCCTTCTTATATCAAAGAAAACATTTGGCATTTGGTTATTTAAGATTGGCTAACTTCACTTAGCATTATCTTCTCCAACTGCATTTATTTACCTGCAAATGCCATGATTTTGTTCTCTCTTATTGCTGAGTAATATTCCATTGTGTACATATGCCACTTTTTTTTAATCCATTCATCTATTGAAGGGCATTTAGGTTGGTTCCACAATTTAGCTACTGTGAATTGTGCTGCTATAAACATTGATGTGTCTGTGTCCCTGCAGTATGCTATTTTTAAGTGCTTTGGGTATAGACCAAGGAGAGGGATAGCTGGGTCAAATGGTGGTTTCATTCCAAGTTTTCCAAGGAATCTCCATACTGCTTTCCATATTGGCTGCACCAGTTTGCAGTCCCATCAGCCGTGTATGAGTGTACCTTTCCCCCCACATCCTCGCCAACACTTACAATATTTTACTTCTATGTGGTGCTGAGGCTCGAACCCAGGGCCTCATGCATGCTAGCATTCCACCACTGAGCCACAACCCCAGCCCTGTTTCTGGAATCTTGATGCCTGAATTCAAATCTATTTCTCCACTTACCAGTTGTTTGACCTTTAATAATAACTTGAGCTGAACCTTAATTTGCATATATGTAAACTTCAGGAATTAATACAAACCTGGTAGTGTTAAAGAGAAATTTTGCAACAGGTATTTGTTTAAAACAATAAGGCATACTATTAAAGACTATTGCAATAAGGGAGAGAGACTATTGCAGTAGAGGAGAGAGATGGAATTCAACACAAATGTGGATTTATAGCCAACTGACAGTGTAAGAGAGTAAAAGGAAAATTACTAAAGAGGAACTTGGTTGGATATCAAGGATTAGGGAAGAGGAGCTTAACTGTATATTAAAAGTAGGGGGCATTCTTAATAAACTGGCTTATCAAGATTCTTTCCTAAAACTGGACTCTACAGGCCAAAGTCAAGGCCAAGTTAAGAAGATGCCTCTGGCTAGAAAGGAAACTGACTAAAGTTTCAGGTCAAGGAGGAAATCTTGGCCAAGAGTTATAATGAGTACTTAGCAAATATTTACCTTCCATCAGAAATAGCCACTTGGGTTTTTAAATCCAGGTTATTTATGATTTCTTCTGTAGCAAGATCACAATTTGAAATATACTAATGTGCTTTTCCTTTTGTATTTCCTTATCCAAGACATTTCACCTATAAAACCTGAGGCAAGAGGGTTTTTATTTTATTTTAATTGCTTTTATTTTTTAAATACATGACAGCAGAATGCAGCACAATTCTTATTACACATATAGAGCACAATTTTTCATATCTCTGTTTGTATATAAAGTATGTTCACACCAAATCATGTCTTCATACATGTACTTTGGATAATGATGTCTATGACATTCCACCATCATTGCTAACCCCCTGACCCCTCCCTTCCCCTCCCACTTCTCTGCCCCATCTAGAGTTCCTCTATTCTTCCCATGTTCTCTCTCCCTATCCTACTATGAGTCAGTCACCTTATATCAGAGAAAACATTCGCCATTTGTGTTTTGGGGATTGGCTAACTTCACTTAGCATTACCTTCTCCAACTGCATGCATTTACCTGCAAATGCCATGATTTTATTCTCTTTTATTGCTGAGTAATATTCCATTGTATATATATGCCACATTTTTTATCCATTCATCTATTGAAGGGCATCTAGGTTGGTTCTACAGTTTAGCTATAGTGAATTGTGCTGCTATAAACATTGATGTGTCCCTGTAGTATGCTGTTTTTAAGTCCTTTGGGTATAGATTGAGGAGACAGATAGCTGGGTCAAATGGTGGTTCCATTCCAAGTTTTTCACGGAATCTCCATACTGCTTTCCAAATTGGCTGCACCAATTTGCAGTCCCACCAGCAATGTATGAGTGTGCCCTTTCCCCCACATCCTCGCCAACACTTATTGTTGTTTGTCTTCATAATAGCTGCCATTCCGACTGTAGTGAGTGTTTTTTATTTTTTAAGGGTAAATTAGGATTACCATAGCTGGGATGCAAAGAGAAAGAAAGAGTCATTATTCATCTGTGCTTTCCTAAATAGACCATTAAACCCCGCTTTAGAAATGGTACCATTAAAAGGAACATTGGGACAACTCAGTTTGGAAATATCTACTTCTTCTCCTAGAACTCTACAGAGAAAAGGGGGTCGGTATAAAAAGACCTCACAAATTCCTTCAGTACTGAAACTCATTGTGAAGAAATCCCATAACTTACATATAAATATGGTCATGGCCCAAAGTAGCAGAAACTAGCAGAACCAACATGAGATGCCTTGGCAGTCTGAGAATGAGCAGATTCAGTTGGTACTAAATGAGAATTGAAAGGTTCCTGAGCTGGCTAGTCTCAAAATTAGAAACAGAGGTTCTCTTCGACAAGGAGAGACACCACTTGGAGTGGAAACTTCTGCAAGCAGTGTGGTGATCTCCCTTGCCCTCGGGGGATATGTTCTGAGATCTCCAGTGGATGCCTGAAACCTCAGATAGTACAGAACTCTATACGTACTGTTTTTTCCCTATGCATACATTCCCTATGCACAGTATTGTCTTCAGGATATCCAAATTGTCATCATGAGTATTCTTCCACTTTGGGGCCATTAGGGTTATTTGAACACAAGGACTGTGGTAACCTTGGCAGTCAGTCCATCTGATAACTGAGACAGCTACAGAGTAGGAATAATGTGTGGGAAGAGTATACAGCATGGATATACCATACAAAGGAATGATTCATGTCCTGGTTGGGACACAGCAGAATGGTGGGAAGAGTTTATTACACTACTCAGAATGGTGTGTAATTTAAAACTTGTCAGTTGTTGATTTCTGGAATTTTTCATTTAATATTTTTGGACCATAATTGACCTTGGGTGGCTGAATCCATGAAAAGTGAAGCCTTGGATAAGGAGGACTACGAGATTCAAATTCAACACTGTTAGCACTGGGAGAGGTAGTGGGAGGCAGAGCAAGAAAGCCCTGGGACACCCTTCCTCTTCTTCCGAATTTCTCAAGTCATCTCTTGTGTTTCATTTCCTGGTTGCCTGAAAGCACTTTTACTTTTCCCCTAACTATTATGAAAGAGTCTTCATAATAATTTGTGTTTTTCTTTGCTACATATCCATCTCTTTAAATTTTTTTGCCTGTCTTCATATGTTCTCTAATTATAAAAAATAAGAAATGTATGTATATAAAAAATATATCAATGTAGACTAAATAAATGTCCAATGTTGACCTTGAGATATATACACTTTATTCATGCTGTTTTGCATTTTGGGTTTTCAATTCAAAGATAAATACACACATACACATATGTATTTCTATGATACAGATAAGACTAATATTTAATAGACTCACTTTGATATTTAATGAATCCTCTTTGGCTAGGCCTTTAAGTCACTCTCAGATGATCACTGTTACAGTCTGCAATTAATATCATTGTACTCATATCTTTATATAATTTTGTGGGTTTTTGTAGAATGCATTCCAAAAAAAAAAAATCCAGAATTCCTGGGTCAAAGAAGCTGACCAGATGTATCATTCCATTAATATGTATCATATTAAACTTTCAATAAACTAAGAGGAAAGGAGAAGAAAACATGCCATAGAAAAAGACAGAAAGGGCAGTGTGGAGAAGAGCCAGGTCTCAGTTTACTCTTAAAGCACTGAAGCCTCAAATGCATACATCATACCAAATAGGAAAACATTATCAGTTTTTCTTAGAACACTTCTCATCTCCCTTTTTGGGTCTATTCTACTTCTATTGATATAGTCAAAAAGTGGCAACTATTTTCTGGGGGCAAGTCATTTTTCTGATGCTACTGATCTTTCACACAAGTCATTTTCTCAAATGTGTTTTACCCAAGCCACTGTAAAGCCACAAGCTATTGTTCATATAAATCTCTTCCATTCTGTGTGTTTCCACTGTATATATTTCAATACATATGAACATGTATATATATGAAAGAACACAATATTTTCTTTTTATTTATTTTATATAGAACATACTTATGTATTCTTTTAATTTTATATAATATATAAAATAATATATTTATTTATATAAAATTTACATTTTAATAAAATTTACAAATTTTATGTAAATTAAATAACAGCATTAAATTCAATATAAATACAATAAAATATAAATATAATATATACCAATATATAACCAATAAATATAATAATAAATATAAATATAATATATAACCAATATATATACCAAAATATAACCTTTATATAATCATATATTTTGTTTATATATACAAAACAAGGCTACTATATTTAATTATAGTTATACTATAGTTAATTATGTATTTCCTATGTGTGTTTATATACATATGCAATGTATATTTCTTTTTTTGGACATCATAATGAGTGTATATTATTATAGTACGTCTCACCATGGGAATGTTACTCAATTAATATATAGGTTGTTTTGTTTATATTAAGTCTCTTCACCCTTCCAATGTCACTATATTGTTTTTGTTTTTGCATTAAATCTTTTCTCCATTTCTAGAGTAGATACTGTAGTAGGGGACAGACAAGGCAAGGCACCGAAGATAGTAGGAAACAGTTTTATTTGGCTGCAGCCAGGTTCAGAGGGCACAGCTTTCGCCGTAATCAATTAATCCCCTGAACCCTGAGTTCAGGTAGTTTCATAACTTAATACCCAGCATGTAAGAAGAAGGACTCAGAAGTTCAGAGTCTGCAGAAGTTCACTTAAAAGCAGGTTTTTCTTTCACTGTTCTGGGCAAGTTAACCCTTCAAGGACAGCACCTGAGAAGGGGAGAGCTTCTCCCCTTTCTTTCCTCCCCCTGCCAGCTGTTACCATGGAGCCCAATTGGTAACTTCTCTTATCTTAGAAATGTAGACATCTCTGTGAAGCCCAGCTCAAGGCCAGAGACCTTGTTAAAGGAATTGTCTTTTTTATTATCACATTTTGCATTTGTAAACTACTATACTGGATAAATGTTTGTGAAAAACTAATAAAGGGGCATTCAGCACCAGGCCAATGGCAAAGTAAAATACAGCAATAGGAAAATACAACGTTTACCTACTTTGAACTCTTTTGTAGAGACTCTTTTGCTGATAGTCCTACAATCAATAATGGTGAAAATTTCTGGAGAAGCTTAGTTAAGAATTTCTGTGGAGAAGGGGGTGCCACTACAATTCACTGAATACTTTTTTTCCTAAAGCTTTTGTTTATTTGTTTGTTTCTTTCCCCTAGAGATAAATGTTTCATTTTTTGGCTATTTGATATTTAAGTACAATATTAACTTGGGGTAAAGTAAACATCTGATAAAAACATGGAGAAAAAGACTCCTCAATAATTCAGGAGGTAGTGCTGGTAGATGGACGAGATGATTTGTTAGATTCTAGGTAAGAGCTTCCTTCTTCCTATTGCATGTACTTTGAGAATTCTGAAACTGTGAACTACTACTTATGTAAATTTGAGCCATCTAATTTCTTTGACTCTCCTACTAAGCATCAAATACAATATCTAGACAGCATTTTTTTCAGTTTATTATTTGTTATAAAGAAAACATGTTTTTTTCCACTTAATTAACTCTTTGTTCCTGTTTCATGAGAGACTAGTTAGGACTGTGAAAGCATTACTGTTCGTTGGGAACTTTACAGACCAATGCTCATGTTTAACCTCAACGGCCCCAAAGTTTTCAGGGCAAAGTTTGATTCAGGAGGCCCTTGAAAGTCACATCTGGTCAGGTCTCTTCATTTCTCTTCCGTGCAGAGGCACTAAGGCAAGCACAGATGCATGCAGTGCTGACAACCACATGTGACAAGAGAGTGATTGCATCCCCCTCTCCTACTGCTTCAACAACTGCGGAAACCAAAAACAATGAAATGAGGACTAAGAGCAACTGTGTTGAAACTGAGGTCATGACATTCGGATCTTGGGGGCTGGAGGTTCCAAAGATATATTTATTTAAAATTCTGTCTTGAAATTTCCCCTTTCTGGAGCTCTGCATGCTGAGGCTAAGAGCTTACACCTCCTTCCAAGAAACATCCATGTCAGGAATCCAATATATATATATATATATATTTTTTTTTTTTTTTACTTGCTTTCATTATTCTATTTTAACCTAAGCTTAAGACTTTACATTTTTCACACTAGTCAGATTTTATGAGATATTTATTTATTAATTTTTATTATTATTTGCTTTTCCAAAGCATAAAGAACTATTTGAAACCTGTCTTTGTGCATATATATATATATATATATATATTTTTTTTTTGCTGATATTCCAAACTAATAAAAGCTTGTCAGATCCTCCAGTTCCGAAGTTAAAAATAGAAAAAAACAAAACAAAACAAAACTGGGCATTTGGGGGAGCAACTTCCTAGCTTTGTGGCTTTGTGAAAGTTACTTAGCTTCTCTCTGCTTCCTATCATACATTTATTTTGAAAATTAAATTAGATAAAATAAAATCCCCATGACTGACACCCGGTAAATTGCTAGATGTCAATAAGTGTTAGTGGCTCTCCCCCACATCTCTCTGACACGCTGAAGCAGAAAGGCTGATCTCAGAAGTCTTGTTTACAGATCCTCTGGGCACGGTGACTCAAATCTCGGCCACTCTTGCTTTGGATTTTAGCTCTGGAGTCAATCCAGCTATGGAGGGGGCTTGTTTTGTGAGCTGTTCTTCTTTTTCTTTTAGCATAGATACAGAATTATTCAATAACTGAGAAAATGAAAGGTAATTTGTTATGTAACTCCCCGAGAAACAGAAACTTGTCAATGATTTTGGAAAGAATGGTCCTTCTTTCTCAGCTGAGAACCTTTTGCTGGACTCACTAGGGCTTTTCGCCCCGTGCCTCTTTCACACCATGAACATAGTCCAAGGGAGGAAATGTAAACTGAGAAGAAAAAGCAGGATCTTAAGAGGGGGTTCTCCAAATGGCATTATGGCCTCTCTTGGGCCTCACTTCTATGTGTTCTCCATACTTTCAAGCTACCTTGTCAACACAGAGAAGTAAGGCAGGGACGGAAAGAAAGACAGGAACAAGGGAGAATGCTCCCATCAGGATGTGGGCAGGGGGATGGGATTTATGCCCAGAACCAGTAGAAGATACTAGGTAAATTCAATCTTCAAATTGTGCTTTTTTTTTTTCCCTTGGAAGATTAATGAACAGATGAAAGAAGGTATCTTGCCCTCCAACCTTGGAACCCAATCATAAGCAACAGAAATTTGTTTCAAATAACTTCTTCATTTAGAGATAATTTTTCAATATTCGGTCAGTGATTTTTCCCTTCTGCTTTCTCTTTTTCTAAATAGCTGAGAAGAGGTCCAGGAAAGTTGAATTCAGATTACATATTTTGCCTGTCTGTCCATTCATCCATCTTTATGGATCCTTTCTTATTCATTCATAAATTCATTAATGATGCATTCATTAATTCACTCAGTCAATATTTGTTGAATTCCAACAAGGTATTAGATGCTGTTCTGTGTTTCTCATGTTTTGAGGATAATTCAAGTGAAAATAAAGATAAAGAACATTTATTGATCCAGGAGGAAGAAAATAAAGTAATTGAGGCTAAAACTTTCTAGAAGGCAGACAGGTGGTAAAGAGAGGAATGCAGTCATACCTGCTAAAGGTCAAACCACAGAATATTCAAAACTTGTGTAAATAACTGGAATTGGTATCTTCAGGCCTTCAAAATCTCCCTGCAGAAAGAACCTAACTGACTAACCTATCAGCATGATTTTGCAATTTAGGATTTCTGCCGTTAGTAAATGACCTCTGAACACAATTTTTGTGAAAATCTCTTATAAAAATCCTCTCCTGTACTTGCCCTTTGGGGCACCATCCAGGGCCATGTGGCTCACTGTACCTGAACTGCAATTCTTTGTTTCCAAAACAATGCTATTTCCTTTTATGAAAAAAATGTTCAACATTTCTAGCCATTAGAGATGTAAGGAGTCTCTCATTCTCAGGATGGTACAAAGTGCTGGTATACAACAGGAAGACTGAATACCGCCTTAAATGTACCTTAAGTGCCCTGCTTACTGTGCTATGAAATCCCAGCCTTGTTCACCACCTACATTTTCCCCATGTTTTCAACTTGGTACATTACAACGCACAGTGGTGGGATTTCATGTTACATTTTCATACATACATACGATATAAAAATATAATTTGGACCTTGTCATTTCCCATTTCCCTCCCTCACATCTCCCTGGCTCCTTTCCTCTACTGATTTTCCCTTCAATTTCCATGAGATCCTCTTCCCCCACCATTCTTTTCCTTTTCCTCTATAGCTTCCACATATGAGAGAAAACATATGACCCTTGGCCTTCTGAGTTTGGCTTATTTCACTTAACAAAATACTCTCAAGTTCTGTCGATTTTTCCACAAATGACATAATTTCATTTTTATTTTTCTTTTTTGCTTTGGTATCAACTTATATTCTTTTTATATTATTTGATTTTTTAAGTTGTTCAATTTAGTGATACATGGAAGTAGAATGTATTTTTACATATCATATAGACATTGAGTATAACTTCCCATTCTTGCAGTTGTACCTGATGTGAAGTAGAATGTATTTTTACATATCATATAGACATTGAGTATAACTTCCCATTCTTGCGGTTGTACCTGATGTGGAGTTACACTTCATGTATTCATGTACGAATATAGAAAAGTTATGCCTAATTCATTCTACTGTCTTTCCCATTCCCATCCCTCTCCCTTGCCCCCAGTCCTCCTGTCCAATCAGGTGAACCTCTGCTCCTCTCTTGCCCCCACTTATGGTGAGTTAGCATCCGAATATCAGAGAGAACATTTAGCTTTTGTTTTTTTTGCATTGGCTTATTTCACTTACAAGAGAGTCTCCAGAACCATCCATTTACTGGCAAATGCCATAATTTTATTCTTCTTTGTGGCTGAGTAATATTCCATTATGTATTTGTACCACGTTTTCTTTATCCTTTCATCTATTGAAGGGCACCTAGGTTGGTTCTGTAGCTTGGCTATTGTAAATTAAGCTGCTATGAACACTGATGTGGCTGCATCGCTATAGTATGCTGATTTTAAGTCTTTTGGGTATATACCCAGGAGTGGTGGGCTAACTGGGTTAATTGGTAGTTCCATTCCAAGTTTTCTGAGGAATCTCCATACTACTTTCCATTGTGGTTGCACCAATTTGCAGTCCACCAGCAATGTATGAGTGTACCTTTTTCCCCACATCCACACCAATAATTATTGTTACTTGTATTTTTGATAATTGCCATTCTGATGAGTAAGATGAAATCTCAGTGTAGTTTTCATTTACATTTCTCTAATTGCTAGAGATGTTGAACATTTTTTCATATATTTGTTGATTGATTATATTTCTTCTGTGACGTTTTTATTCAGTTCCTTTGTCCATTTATTGATTGGGTCATTTGGGTTTTTGCTTTTGTTTGGGGCGTGTTAAGCTTTTAGTGTTCTTTATATATCCTAAAGATTAATGCTGTACCTGAGGTGCAGGTGCCAAAGGTTTTCTCCCATTTTGTAGGCTCTCTCTTCAGGTTCTTGATTTTTCCTTTGCTGTGAAGAAGTTTTTAGTTGGATATCATCCCATTTATTGATTCTTAATTTTACTTCCTATGCTTTTGGAGTCTTGTTGAGGAATTCAGTTCCTAAACCAACATGATGGAGATTTGTTCCTACTTTTTCTTTTATTAGGTGCAGTGTGTCTGGTCTAATGCCTAAGTCCTTGATCTACTTGGAGTAGAGTTTTGTGCAGAGTGAGAGGTAGGGGTTTACTTTCATTTTATTACATATGGATTTCCAGTTTTCCAAGTACCATTTATTGAAGAGGCTATCTTTTCTCCAATGTGTGTATTTATGATTGTTATGTCTTGTTGATATATAATTCCCTTAAGCAGTGTGCAATGTCCTTCTTTGTCTCTTCTGATTAATGTTGGCTTGAAGTCCACTTTATCTTTAGAAACCCCTGCTTGTTTACAAGATCCATGTGAATGAGATTTTTTTAAACATTCTTTTACCTTCAGTCTGTGGATATCTTTGCTTATGAAGTGAGTCTCTTGGAGAGAGTATATTGTTTGGTCTTGTTTTTTAATCCAATCTGCCAGTCTAATTTTTTTTGATTGATGAGTTTAGGCCATTTACATTCAATGTTATTATTGATGTATGATTTTTATTCCCCATTATTTTGATTTATTATTTCTGGGTTTTAATTTGAATTAGTTTCTCCTTTCATTAAATATTCTTTTAGTGTAGTTCTTCTCTTTGCTGGTTTTCACTTTTATTTTTTATTTCTTCTTCATATTTTATTGAGTCTGTTTTGTAGGGCAGGCTTTCTAGTTGTGAATCTTTTAAACTTTGTTTACCATGGAAAGTTTTTATTTCATTATCAATTCTAAAACTTAATTGTGCTGAGTATAATATTCTTGGCTGGCACCCATTTTCTTTCAGTTTGATATATATTATTCCAGGACCTCTTAGCTCTGAGGGTCTGGGTGGAGAGATCAGATGAGATCTGTGTAGGTTACCTATTGTTTTTCTCTGTCAGCTTTTTATTCTATGCCTATTCTGTATGTTAAGTATTTTCATAATAATGTGCCTTGGTGTGGGTCTCCTGTAATTTTGTACATTTGGGGTCCTGTAAGCGTACTGTATTTGATTTTCCATTTCATTTTTTAGACTTGGGAAATTTTCTGATATTACTTCATTGAAATGATTGTATCTCCTTTGGTTTGTATCTCCAAGCCTTCATCTATCCCAATAAGTCTTAAATTTGCTCTTTCAAGTTATTCCATATTTCTTGGAAGTTCTGTTCATGGTCTCTTAATATCTTTCCTCCATGGTCAACTTTATTTATAATTTTATATATTTTGTCTTCATTGCCTGAAGTTCTGTCTTCCAAGTGGTCTCT